GATGTCATCGTGCTAACGCAAACATCGATGTATGTTCATATGCCCAATGAATTACGCAGACACACATACACACTTGGTCGTCCGTCGGGACACATACATATATAAACATATTTTACAGTTTCGGATTTGACATATGTATGTATACGGGTGGTGTTGTGTCTATACATACGCATTTGTATGTTGAAATTCAAAGATTGGAAGTGTAGCGAACGACGACGTCCCCCCCCGCCACCACTTCCATAATAACACCAATACACGCAATCTACATAAACCCAAACTTTTAAAAAATTAATCAGTTTGTCTGACGATCGCAAAAGCGTAAAAACCCAGGGTCACAAAACTCACATCAATCCAACCAAATATATATATATATATCCAACAATATATATATATATATATATATATATATATATATATATATATAAATATATATAAATAAAAACAGTCCACTTTAAGGTAATGGTACCTTAAAAGTGGTCTGTTTTTCTTTAAAATATTAGCTCGGATTTACATTGAGCTCTCAGGATTTCACTATTCTTGGGATTACCCATACGGATTACCATGTTCTTCATAACTTATATATATATATATATATATATATATATATATATATATATATATTATATTATATTTCAACTCCGATCTACGTTTTTCTTGTCGGCTGTTGAATGAAGACGCATCTGATGTCATCATTGCTATAGATTGATGAGATCAGCGATAGGTACACTTCAACCAACCGTTCCATAGCATTAATAACATCAGATGCGTGCTTTTAGCGTCTTTATTCAACAGCCGAAAAGAAAGATACAAATTGGAGTTGAAATCTATTTTCAAAGTAAAATCACACATTGAGGGATTAAACATAATATAATTTCCACATGGAGCCCTCGAACCACCAACAATAACATTACTAAGAAATGTGATTCCCGATTCTTTGTTCATTCCTCGTTTCGGTGAAAAGGGACACAGGCGTGTCCGAAAATTCCGACTTTTAAATATTTCACTACTCGCTTCAATTTAACCACACGGCTGATATATAATAATAAATATCAACAATCTTA